CTCCTTTCTCTTCCTGAGAACTAGATGTTCATTTGGCTGAGTATAACTCTGTTTATCTCTGTTGGTGTTGTCTCATTAAAATCTGTTCTCACTTCTATCCATGAGTCTCCTCTCCTTTTTCCTGATTCTCCTCCCTGGCTGCTGAGGGATTGTTGGGTGATAGAGTAACTGTTCTAATTTAGCCCTGGGTGCAGTCTAAATGTAGACAGTCTATTTGGTGCTAGTGCTTGTTTGGGACCCAACTTGAATAGCTCACCTGAGAGAGTTGTAGACCTTTAATTTAACAGTCTCCAGGGGCTGAAGTTTCAACAGGTTAGGATGGAGTTGTTCACTATGATGATGTTCGCACTTGGTGAAATTTTTGGCTATTGGATCTTAGAGTTGCTTTTCACCTATGAGCAGCTTTACCGCTGTTTGTCATTGGTTTTCTGAGGCTGATCACTTTTGGGTGTAGGGGTAGAGGTGCTGCTTTGCTGGGTACTCTGGCTGTTGGTTATAGTATAAATTCTTCTGTAGTTACAACAATTTCTGATTTCTATGGAAAGGTAATGGGTAAAGACAAGCAGAAATACCCATGGAATATTTCTGCCACCATGCTTATGTTATCAGTCCTTTTGAGTATCTTTCTGCTTAGAGAAAAGTAACACTATAAAGGAGAGTGTTGTGCAGCTACCTCAGCCCCAGTGGGAAACACTGAGGTTAGGCCCTGCGGAAAGTGTTGCAACTACTCAGACCCCAGTGACAGGTGATGTAGTGGACCTAGGGATTCAATCAGTGCCAGTTGCCCTGGTAGAGAAGACAAAATACAAGAAAACAGCAGGTCCTGCAGGAAGATCTCAGGCAGGCGAAGAGGTGACAACGTGATCTGTAACCCTGGGCGAATGGCGAGATACCAGTAAGGATTATGGCTGGCATGAAGGAGAGCCACTTGTTACCTGGCTACTCCAATGCTGGGAAAATGAAGCCAATAGTGTGGATTTAGCATCAGAGAAGCCAAACAGCTGGGACCATTGGCAAGAGAAACTGGCATTGACAGAGGTCTTGAACGGAAGGTACATCCTCTCTCTATCTGGAGGCAACTCCTGTTAAGTGTAAGGAACAAGTGTCCCTTTAGAGATGATGTTGTATACCACTACTACAACAGTGCACTAACAACAGTATAATTTGAATAGAGACTCCCTGATCCCTGTTCACCAGCTGATCTGTCAACTGGAGAACCAAGGGGTGATCAGCAAGGCATGCTCACCCTTTAACAGTCGCATATAGCCAGTGCAGAAGTCCAATGGTGAGTGGAGACTGACAGTGGACTACTGTGGCCTGAATGAAATAACACAACCACTGAGTGCTGCCCTGACAGACATGTTAGAACTTCGGTATGAACTGGAGTTGAAGACAGCAAAGTGGTACGACACTATTGCCGTTGCTAATGTGTTTTTCTGTATTCTTTTGGCGGTGGAGTGCAGGCTGCAGTTTGCTTTCACCTGGAGGGGTGTCCAGTACGCCTGGAATCAGTTACCCCAGGGGTGGAAACACAGTCCCATGATTTTCCATGAACTAATACAGTCTGCACTGGAAAACAGTGGAGCTCCTAAATACTTGCAATGTATTGATGATGACATTGTATGGGCGGGATGAAAATAATTCATATTCCTCTGGAAGCCAGTTGTGCCATCAAAAGAGGCAAGGTCAAGGGACCAGTAAGGCAAATCCGGTTTCTGGGAATCAAGTGGCAGGATGGGCATCACCAGGTCCCAATGAATGTGATTAACAAAATAACAGGCACGTCTTTACCAAAGAACAAGGAGGCACAAATTTTCTTAGGCATTGTGGGTTTCTGGTGAATGCATATTCCTGGTTACAGTCAGATTGTGAAATATCTCTATGAAGTGACCTGAAAGAGAAGCAGTTTTGATTTGGACTCTGACAACAACAGGCCTTTAAACAAATTGAACAAGAGATTGCACATGCAGTATCCCTTGGTCCAGTTCAAACAAGCCAGGACATTAAAAATATACTTTATACTGAAGCTGGGGATAATGGTCCTGCCTGGAGTTTGTGGCACAAAGCACTGGAGGAGATCTGAGGCTGACCCCTAGGATTTTAGAGTCGAGGATACAAATTATGGAGTATAAGATACTGATGTCAGAGAAAGGCCTGATATATTGACTGTTTTCAATTGTAGTCATGACTTGAAACAATAATGATATTAAAGGAAGATAAGAATTATCTCAATAATACATACTTATGTATTGAGTTTTTGAACTTTCCCAAACTGAAAATACCCCCAAAGTTCTTCCCTCAAAGACACAACATGAAATAAGCCCATAAAAACTTGTTTACTGTTTTGTTCTATACCAAGTTAGTAACATCAAATGTCAGTTCCATATGGAAAAGTTCAAAATCTTTTGAAGCAAGCATTATCACTTCATAAATAATCACAGCTGTATACCTAGAAAGATGTGTTTAGAATTCTTTCATTTTCTTCTGTTAATTTGAAAATATATGCCAGTTAAAGGAGCACGTGTTCATATTCACCTAGTAACTTTCATTGTTTGGTAGTTGTTACACTCAAAATCTTGTTACTGGCAAGATCTAAAACACCACTTACACAGAGTCAAGACTTCACTGCTAGCCTGATTAAAATCTTAACCTACTAATCAAAACATAAAAACCACCTATTACTGGTCTATTTACAAAAATGCATTCCTAGTCCAAATTAATACAGGGAAGTCTTATTAATACAACAACTTTTTTCTTTTTTTTATACAAGAAACTTTACTAATATTTAACCCTTTTCTTTGGCATGGTGTGCTTTCCTTTCCAAAGCCACTCTGGTTGTGCAGTCAAAAGCACCAGACTTCCTGAAAAAGAATCAGGAGCAGGGGACATTTACAGCAAGCCTTCTATATTGTGAGTTCTTCACTGGCAGGAACATAGTGTTTATAGTGGGGATTTCCTCCTCAGTCTGGTGGCTGATCTTTTGGCTCTTTTACATGATTTCCTCATATCTCTTTCTCATTGTTTCCTAGCTTCGATTAACATAAATAGCTACTGTTTGTTACACAGTGCTCAGATTTGTCAAACCTTTACTATACGGAAGTCAGAAATTAGGTCAGAAAATAGTCAGTTGACCTCCAGATAAGAGGTAAACCAGCTGTGGACAAAGTGAGCCCAGAGAGGTCTGAATGCTGTGCACTGTCAGGCTAGTACATAGCTTGCAGCCTTTTGCTACTAAAAGTGAAAGTTACTGGATTACATATTTGAATTTTTTGTCAGGACCATCATACCTAAAAGAATGGAAAAATTGACTGAAATCTATTTGTAAAAAATGGCTTCTTTTTTTTATGTCGTTGATTTTAGCTTGGGAGCAACAGTACAGTTCTCTTGTGATGAAGATTATGTGCTACAAGGTTCAAAAAGTATCACCTGTCAGAGGATAGCTGAAGTTTTTGCTGCATGGAGTGATCATAGACCTGTGTGTAAAGGTAAAGAGGAATTCTTACTCTTATAGTGATTTGTTAATTTCACATCTAGCTATCATTTGATAGCCAATCTTATTAAATTACTATTTTATGAGCACTTGAAGTTTTAATCCTAGTGTCCCCACTTTCTCAGTGAAAAAGGTCCTACCGATACTGTTTTGTTTGATAAGAACTTTGTATTTCAGTATGCTTATTTTACTTGGGAGCTTACATTATGAAGTTCACGTGATAATGAACTAATGAAAATCTATCACATGCTCAATATTAAGACTCACCAAGATGGATTTCAAAATTGTAGTGATTCTATATGCAATCAGTTCATGAAGCATCTCACAAGCAGATGAGAAGGACTTGAATTTAGTATTGGTAAGAACTGGAGAAGTAAGTCTATACTTGGTTTTGACCCCGATCAAGTGGATGAAGGGCAAAAAATACAGAAAAATGTAAGAGAAGAAAAGTAGAAAGTTGTTCTACTGAATATATTTGGTGTCTAAATACTATGGCGAGTAGAATGGTAAATACCTGAATCAAGGAATGAAATCATTAGTGTATATATACTTTTATATATATATAAAGGCTAGTACATAGCTTGCAGCCTTTTGCTACTAAAAGTGAAAGTTACTGGAGATATATATATATATACATATATTAGTATATATAATTAAAATATTAATGTGTACATATACATGTAAATTTGCATAACAGCAGAGCCTAATACTGAAGAGTACAGTTTGTTCACAAAGAATGTTTGGGTGTAGGAAACCGGAGGAACATTTATCTTGTAATTCAAGGCTATGGATACTTATACTAATATCCAGAGAGAACTGTGAGATATTTCTGAACAGTGGAAGAGGGCAAAAATATCTGAGGGTGGTATCCAGATTGTGTATAGTAGTAATCCACAAAAAGCTGGAAAATTACGTGGGTGGCTTTTTTTTTTGGCTAATAAAATACCAGGACAGTCTAAATGGGACTCACTATGGATAAAAATGAAGTGCTGGATTAAGTTGGAATAATCACCTATCTAAATCTGAGATGAAGAAAAACATAATAGGTGTTACAGCTGCAGAAATAGGTTTAAAATGGATCATTACAGTATATGCTTCAATAATAGAATATCACATAAGCAAGTAAGAAGTGTAGTTGTATGTGTATAAATATACATAATATTAATGTTTTATATCCTGCTACTGTCTACTATATGTTTGTATAATTGCTAAAGAGAAACACACAAACATGCATGCATAGCAGAATTAATAATGTAATGCACATAAATGAAACCTTTATTCACAGTAAAACAGCAAGGCTTTATCTACTAGAGCTTTTCAGCATATTCACATACCCTAAATTAGATACCTATTTTAGGATAGTAGTCTCCTAATCTTCCAATGTAACCAATGGGGTGTTGTATAAGGGTATTAATACCAACTGTTAAACAGTGTGACAGGATCTTTTAGTCTTTTCTGTGGATCCCTTGCTGGAGGAGGTTGTCAGACATGGCTGATTAAATCAAGGATCCCATCCCCCATCTTAGATGTCTAAAGCTTTGCAATGTGCGTACCACTGATTTTCTCTGCTGTGGAAATTAAGTTTCAAGAAAGGTGTGGATCAGTGAAAATAGGGCAGAAGAAAATACTAAAACCTATTAAAATTCTCTGAAATATAACTAAATATGAACAAGTGGGAAAGAACTGGGCTGCTTTGATCTAGAGAATGAAGAATTCAGTGAAAGAAAACATAAAATACAATGGGCTACAATTGTGCAAAGGGAGGTTTATGGTTAGCAAAACTTTCTGAAGTAAAAAATATTTTGGTTTGTGAGTAGAAGTTTTCAACATCATGTGAGATATACATATATCCAGGAGAGTTTAAATACATGTAATCTAGTAGTCTCATCTTGAGCTGGGGTAATGGACTAAATATCTTTTCGAAGTTCTTCCAATCCCTGTTTTCTGTGTTTTATAAGTTAAAGAACACCCATATTTCAAAACTAAATAATGAAAAAAAATAATCATGATTAGGACCACAGGTAAGTGTGGCTGCATAACAGGATTTATATATTTCTTGTATGATAACCACAATAAAATGACATTCTAAAAATTCTTGGCTTTCATATCCCACAGAAATGGTAACTGTACCACAAATCTTGCTATCCTTTTCATATTATGTATTTGACAATACGATTTAGTAATCTGTCATTGAAAAGACGCTCTAAAAGGAAAGCATAGTGCGATTAACATTTTTTTTTAAATCAATATCACACTGTCAGGTTTTTTTAAAAGTATCTCTCCTAACAGACAATAAAGTATTATCATCAGTACTGTGGTAAGACTGAGATGTATGCATAGCTATTTGTAAGTTTAAAAGCACAGCTCAGTAGCTTTTGAGGACTATGGCCTTCAAGCATAAATAGTAATTAAACATATTGGCTTTCACTTTTGAGTAAGTTTTGAATTCTGAATAGCAGCAGGTATCAAAGTATTTAAGTATAAAAGGGTAACCACATTCTTCAGTCCATTTTTTATTTTTCCCAGTATGATTATATTTTGAACATTGCATAATGATTTACAAATCACATTTGTAAACATGTGTGTAATTATAAAGTAAGCATTAATACTGAACTAGAAAGAAAAATAAAGCAATAAATCCATTGGAAGCTAGCAGTTCTGATAAACTTCTGTCTAAACGTGAAACTGCAGAATATGCGTTAGGTAAATATCCAAAACTACCATTATTCATAAGTAGAACATCTAATTCACAATCAAAAGGACAGTGATTCACTTGTTTACACTCACCAGCTTCATGGAACTAGCTAATTCTACCTGGTTTTTTAAGAGTGCCAATATTAAAAATAGATACAATGTCATATGATGAAAAGGCAGAGGGATGGTGTAGATGTTATAGTTTGTCACATATGAAATGCTTTAGAGTGTCATTAGTTGCATTAAAATTACTAATTTAAGTACCTTTGGTGTGCTCTAATTTTGACTCTCTTGATTAACAAGATGTTTCATTTAGACTCTTAGATATACTAAAGCTGGAATATAAACATTTCTTCTAGAATGTTAATTATGTCTTCTCTAAGTTTTATGCACAGAATATACAACAAACGTTTTGAAAGAATTTTGCATAAGTAGCATAAATATCATGTAGTAACATGAAGAAAGTATCTGCAAAAATACGTGTGCATCTGCTTGTTTAACTTTGTATACAAACCATTTGGGCAAACAAATTAGGAAATCATGCATAAATGTTATTTTATGCAAGAAATTAATATTTTCTTTTGAACTGATGCAGCTTTGCAGATAACAGGCACAGGTGGTATATTATAGAGAGATACCTATTACTCTTTAAAATGTCAGTTAAAGTGCTGCTTTTTATCACATGGTGTTTCCTATTTGAACAGTACATCTTGCAATTTTTTTCATTCACTTACATAAATTATATAGTGCACACACTAAAAATCCCACAATAATGATCCATTTTTTAAAAATGGCATGTGAATAGCAACAATCAGTTGCATTCATATACTGCCATTGGGCAGAGTTTTAAACAGGAACTTTCCAATTCTGTTAGATGCATTTGATTTGACATCATAAATCCTCAGGACTTGTTCTCATAAAGCACATGAGTGGCTGAGTATAACTGTCTGCCAAAAATGAAATACTAACTCTCTTTAGGAGTATCATGTAACGCCAGCTAGCACTTGCATAAGATCATATTCATGAAAGTGAATCTGTAATAAGTCTAAAGAAGTTGTAAAGGGGAAATGTCATAGGACTTTCAGAAGGAAAAGTGATACATCAACTTGCAAAATATAAGCAAATATTATAGATTAGCAGTGTCTTTTAGACCCTAAGACTAGTTTCGAGGAAAATGCTGCTCTGGAGGTTTGGCTGATTTCTGAACCTTTTGACTTCTAGCAGAGACTATGAGAAAATCATAAAGCTATAGCAAATATCCTGACTAGATTTAATTGTAGTTGGATTATCTTGTAGTTTGCTAACAATTATCCTTTCTTTTTCATATTTTGCTTAATTTTTTAAATATATTTTAGAATTTCTGTCACTAGTCACCCTAGCAAAATAGCAGTTACTCTCTGGTAGATGGATCTGTTGAAGAAATATGGCAGAAAATCAAGACATATGCCCCATTGTGATTTATGGACAAGGTATATTGAAAAGAAGCTAGAATTTGGAGCTATGAGGAAAGTATGGCTTTATGTTGTAGGCAAGAAGATAAATTAAGAAAAGCAGCAGCTGAAAATTAACTGATCACTTTCTGCATCTTATAGAAATTTGAAAGTGGATTCATTCTTTAGACATTTGGGTTTTTTAGCTGGAATTTTTAAAGAACAATGCATCATACAAACCTAAAATTCTGCTGGAAATTTTAAATTTTTTTCCACTTTAATTGGCTTCATGTAAATCTTGTAGCATACCATTGTTACAGTATAGCAGAACAAACAATGCCTTCCCATCCTTCCTGAGAAAGAAGGAAAAAAAAAATAAAGTGGTCCAAAAATGACATGTGAATTTTTTTCCAATTCCTTGCACATTGAGTTACAGTTGAAGTCTGCTACTTGAAAGATGAGAATTTCTGCAGTTGTTAGTTATTTTGTATCCCAAGAAATGCTTAATACATGTCGCTGTAATAACATGACTGCTTACATCCACTTCTCTGTGACTTCATTCAAGAGAGAAAGTTTAAACACTTCAGGATTGAGACCCTTATTTATCTGTCATGGGAGTCAGTATTCCCCTACAGGGCAATGCCATTATTAAAAAGCCAACTTGCTTAAGCAGAGACAATTATCTTCTTTATGAAACTATTTGCCAGTTGATAAATCTCTTCCTCTCATTTACGTTTCAGGAAATGAACCAGATAGATCTATTCACAGTTGGTCGATTAGTCTTTTTATTTTCAAGCCTACCGCTCCTGTTTTCTGCTTGCTTGTTTCTCAGACCCTGTGAAACATTTATGAATGCTGCCTTTTATAAGTG